CCCATCACTCTCCCCATTCCATCCCACCCCTGACCCTTCACTTTTTGCCAGTTCTTTTCTCAGAGCTTAACATTTGTTTTTCTTCTGTAACCCAGGATGCTGTCTTCAGTTATATTTCTCAACTTGTATCAGCAGACTGTCTGTAAGGCCACAGATGAGTGCATCTGTCACTTCATTCATCTGGATCTTAAATTTCCCACAGAAACTATAGGCTGGGAATATCTATTATGAAACACTTATCAACCTGACTTTAATATTCTTCTTCTTCTTTTTCTTTTTTCTTACTATTGTTATAGTTAAATTCGTAAGCTAGAGTAAAACTTCCATAGCTCAGTAACTGCTCTATAGTAGAGGATATTACCAGGCCCAAAAAACTAAATTGAAGGTAGGAGCTTGAGAAGGCAGTTTGGAGGAGAAATAGTCAAAATGGCTAAAATTTAAGTATGAGGAGATGTTAAAAGGCCAGACTGACTTGAAAAGTAAATTTTTTATAAGTAGATTTCATCATGGGAATAAGAGTAAGGAAAGAAGGGTCAAAAACTTGAAAAGAAGAATTTGTCAAATTCTTTTTGCCAAAAGTATGCCATGGACAAAAAAAAAAAAAAAGAATTGCTGCTTAGAAGCTTGCAATGACCTATGGCCCAGTTTCAAGAAAAGTAGCATTCTACTGCAGTTACTAGGCACAAATGAGTCCCATGTATAATCAGGGGCTGTGATTATACCTTAGGCTTTTAAAATTTTCTAGGTCCATCCAAATCATGCAAACATTGGGCAAAGGAAATATAAGCAACTCTATTTTGCCAGCGTAAAAACATTATTAGCAGCATAACAAGACTCAATAGGCAAACAGAACAGGTCTAAAATATTAGCTCAAAGAATTCTACATATAGGCTTTGCTGCCTTTGTGCTCTATGACCTTTAGCAAATTATTTGCCATTCTGGGACAAGGCTGGCTGGTTAAGGTCAGGGTCATTGAACCAACGGTGAATCATATATGGTGGTTAACTTTATAAAGTAAACTATTCCAAGGTTGCATTCAATATAAAAAAAGTTTGAAGAAAGAGGTAAAAAAAATTGTACATGATATGAATGACTAAGCATAACCCTATCAGATCACCACAACGATAAATAAAAACAATTCAAAACGCAAGGCAAACTTCTCAGTTATTGGTGTCATCTTTAAATATGAAAGACAGGATCTAAATATTATTATCCTTTTGTGGATGCTGTTTGCTCATCTGTAACAAAGTGGGAAAAAATCATCGTACTCAAAGGATTGTTAAGATAAGTGACCTATAAACATGCCTGCCAAGTGCTCCTTACAACAGAAATTGCTCCATAAAAGTCCCAGTAATGATCCAGTGGCCTGGAACAATCCAAGTTCAGTGTCCCAGCCTATTCATATCCTTTTGTCATCAGGGAAGTAAATATTCCGGGCACCTCTGACCTCTGAGAAGTCATTTGGCTTTTTAGGTACTTGGATGGTAGAAAGAGGGAAGGGCAACAATTTCTGATAGATCCTTTCTCTTTTAAACCTTACCTAGGAGTCTTTTTTGTTTGGTTTGGTTTGGTTTTGTTTTTGTTTTTGTGAGGAAGATCAGTCCTGAGCTAACATCCGTGCTAATCCTCCTGTTTTTTTTGCTGAGGAAGACCGGCTCTGAGCTAACGTCCATTGCCAATCCTCCTCCTTTTTCTCCTCAAAGCCCCAGTTAAACCTTACCTAGGAGTCTTAAATTGAGAACTATGCCAGTCTGAAATGGGAGAACAGAATCCAAATGTCAGTATCAAACTATAAATAAAAAAGCTAATTGACAATAATTAATAAATCAAAATTCACACTGATTTGAAAGGAGAGGTGGCAATCAATTCTCAACCTCTCTGTGATGCTGAAAAAATCTATCTACCCAATTAATTGAACAACTCAAAATACTTCAAAGATGACTTTCTAAAAATGAGACTCCCTGGGCGTCTGGGTGTGTGTGGCCTGGGACACCCTCCTGATGGAGAGGCAGACCAGCTATGGCTTCCCAAGGAGATCCTTGACCACGGATAAGTAGGAAACGGCTTTGAAGAGGCAAAGATGGCTCCCAAGGATTGGGATCCTTCTACCCTCCACAGAGAAATGCCCAACAATGTGAGTTAGGACTGGCAAAATCAACCCAGAGCACCCCAGGAACTCACTGGACTTGGAGTAGGGAATGGAGGGACTAAGACTGGAGCAGGGTCTTAAATTACCTTGCTTCCCTAGACAGTCATCCTTAGAATTGGGGCTAACCTGGAATAGGGATAGCTGAGGATTCCAAAACACTTGTGAACGCAGAACAAAAGGTGCTATTGTCGAGGACAGAAAGTTAAAGTGTTACCTATAAATTTCACAAGGCTGGTAAATGCCGCCTGGAAATTTTGCAACAATTATTTGTTAAACCAACTCACAGACTATAATTGTCTTTTATATCATAAACACCATTCCAGTGTTTCTCAAAATATGGTGAGGGGATCCCTGGCATCAGAATCACTTAGGGGTGCTTGGTAAAAATGCAGATTCCTGAGTCCCAGCCCAGACTTCTGAATGGAATCTGAGAGAGTGGAGTCCAGCCCACGAACTGAATTTCTAAGGAGCAACCCACTTGACTCAGATGACCCATATCAAGGCAGAAGAATTATGTAGTCCAGCCAAAATTTAAAGACATTCACATAAGCGGTTTGCATATTTCTCCCCAAATGTTTAAGTATCATAAAAATGAAAACAATACTTCTTGTGATGAGTTCTTAAGAACCATTCCAGTTTATTCTGTCCACATGTAATGAACACCATTATTAAAAGGTAATTACGAGCATAAAATTATTGGGAAAAATATCAACTATGCATCTCAAAAATATTGCCTTTATTTTGTCACCAAAAGTAATTATGCTATTAAAGGAATTTATAGTTTTTTTAAGTATCAGTCACTTGGCTGCAGGAACTTATTAAGCTGTTATACTCCTCCCATACCCATTTAGTCATCAGAATTTTTGTGATAAAAGTTTTTTATTATTTTTAAACTATAAACTGTGAAACACTGCAACCAGTGATTAGGCTGAATATGAATTTATATTCAAGTTATAAATTCCTAAAAACAAGTTTCATTAGAATTACCAAGGCAGTCTTAGCTCTAGTAAATTAAATAGCCTCTTCAATAAAGCTTTGTTTACCTCTATTAAGGATTTTTTTTTTTGCACAAAACAATTCAGTTTTAATGCATTCTCTTGAAAAGCAAAAGGAAACAGTTTCTGATATACATGCTACTGCAAAGCAGTAAACCAGCATTGTGTGGTGATGTGACAAGCACATTTCTTTTCTAGAGGGATTTTTTTTTCTCCTATAAACTCCCCCTCCCAAACCATGGCTATATTTCACAAAATGTAGTCTGCCATTTCTGAAGAGTCAAACACTCCTTTCCTGACCAAAATCATAAGTTCAGACTGAATGAAAACAAAACTTGAGAGGCAGGCTTTGTTTGTAGCATGTTGTTTCCACTAAGGTTGCCCCCTACCCACGCTCCACCCTAGTGCTCTCGCTGAAGTGTACATGTTATGTTGTAACAGATGGGCCGGCTGGCGGCTGCTGGGCTATAAAACAGGAACGCAGAATCTGTACCGAGTGGTATTGAACTGAATGCTTGTAAAGTTCATGGATGTACACTGACCCAGACAGACCAGGCAGATCCAGACATGCTTACACACACACTCATGATACCCCACACAGATCAGAGGGTCCATCTCTCCACCCAGGGGAAGTTCAAGGCTGTTTCCCCCTCCATATACTTCTACTTCATTCACCTATCAATCTTATACACACACATAAACACATATGTACACATATACACATGCATATCTACATCTGCATATATATGCATGAATAGCTATATAGCTCAACGTTTTTATATATTTTCAAAGATCAAAATATTCCCAACTTCTATACCCAAGTCTCTATCTAGTACTCTCAATAAGCTCTCATTCACGTCAAACAAGAATCACAAGAAAATACTCTATTGAATTCTATTTAGTTCACACATAATATAAATTACATGTATGTAACTGCCCTTAGAAAAACCAGCCGCTTTTACCCTTTATCACTGAGAGAGAAAAAAAAATCTATCCCAGACTGAGTCATAAACCAAGTGTCAGGTTTAACCTTGAATCCTCTGTTGTCAGTTCCTGTCACAACTTCATCACTTAAACACACAGGTGCTCAAACAAACACCAACCGACCAGCCTGGCGGTCCCTTCCCCGGTCTAGTCTTGGATTCTCCAGGGCTCCGGGCACTGGGATAGACAGCAGCTCCCTCCTGGTCCTAACGAAGTCCTTCAGACACACCTTGCAGGTGGATGTGGAGGTCCCAGCATCTCATGAAGGATGCAGATTCAGGTGCTAATCGAAAGTAATTACTTTACAAAGTTTAACATCCATGCTGTCAACTCCTTTCAATAATCGCAAAGCACTGAAGCCCTGCCACAGAACCCGGCTGCTCACTCAGGTTCTCTGACCGCTTAAGACCCACCCAGAACACGATGATCGCCGGCTCAGCCCACGGGTCAGACAAGGACGCCGCCGGGTTATTGCCCCGCACCGGCTCTGGCGCGGGTTAATTTTTCAGGAACCCGTCCGCAAGCCATCTAGGAACTGCTGTCCCTACACCACTGGGCACGGAGGCCGCCCCCAGCGCCCGTGTCGCCGCCGCAGAGGGCCGGGGGACGCGTCCCGGGCCCCAGCTAATGATGGCAATCACAACACGCCAAGTTCCTGCGGACGCGGAGCCGCGTCCCGGGCCGAGTTGCGACGCTTTGAAACAAGAAGTTCGGGAGTGGGGATACTGGCAAGGAGTAAATCCCGCCCAGCCCTGACCTCCCCACAGCGGCCACGCTCGGACCGACGGACCGACGCGCGCCCGGACGTGCCCAGTCCCCCGGCTCGCCGAACAGCGCCTAGAGAAGTCTCTCGCCTGCGCGCGGCCACTCACCCTCCTCGCCGAGTCCCGATCGCAAACCGACGCCCCTGCTGCGGGTCCTGAATCCCAAGTTGTCCCGAACCAGCGACTGCTCTCGCCCTAGCGGACCGGGGCACATTGGCTCGGGCAAGCACCTCAGAGGGAGCACGACAAGCCCGGCGGCTGCCCAGGCTCAGAAGCCGCCCCGAGCGCGCTGACAATTCACGGACCCGCTCAGCGAATGAGGCAGATCGCAGGGCTAAGCCGACCCGGCTCTTGGGGGGCGGGGCCAGGCGGCGGGCCGGGCGGAGCCAGCCACAGCCCGGCCCCGCAGGGCGGGGCGCCGCTCAACCCACGACTGGCGGAGCGGGCAGCCAATCGCGGTGGCGCCGGGCGTCCGGGCGGCCGCGGGCGATGCCGAGCTCCCGGCTCCGCCCCGCCTCCGCCGTCCAATCGCCCGCGGCGGTGGGCTCGCGGGGGGACGCGCCGGCGGCGGGGAAGTTGGCTGCGATGAGGCGTCTCGGCCGCGGGCGCTGTGGGGGTGGCTGCGCTGGGACGGGGCGCCTCGGGAGGGATGTGGCGGCCTCGAAAAGCCTGTGGGTGAGAGAGGCCTGGGGCCGCCCAGAGCCGACGCGTGTCGGCGCTCTGTGGAGCGAGAAGCCCAACCGCAGCGCGGGCCGGGACCCGGTCGACAACGCCCACACCTGGCGCCCGTGGGAGGCGCGGAGCTTGGCGGCCCTAAAGGAGGCCTCGCAGTCGGAGGAAACCGAGACCCAAAGAGGCTGAGTCCCGGGCCAGATCACCCAGCACCAGTGGAAGCCCGGGCCCGGAACTGGGAGCCCCGGGCTCCCTGGAGAAGGTTCTGATTGCGGTCTGGTGGTTATCTCCGAGACAAAACTCGGACTCTGCACACCTCCGGAAAGTTGATTGCACGTCCCCTCCTCACCACTGCTCTCCACGCCACCGGCAGCTGGGACCTTGCTGGGCGCCTAGGCTCCCTTCCCGACCCAAGGCGCCCCGGGCACTTGGCGCAGAGCCCGGGGGCGAAAGGGAGGCTCGGGCGCTCGACGACGCCGGAACCTGCGAGACCCTCCCTCCGGTTGGGATGCCCTGCGGGGTGGCATCTGCAGCGGTGGGTCCCCCTGCTGCTGTCCTTTGGGTCCGCCAGAGGCTCCAGAACAGTCCATCTTCGCGGGCAGGAATGCCACAGAGCGAGCCAATCTGTCCCACTGCACGCTCTCGCCCCCTTCCCGTTTAGAAGCCCCTGGACTCAGCTCAGAGACCTCCGTAGTGGCGGGCATGGGGGGAGCCTGAGCTCGCCGGGTCAGTCGGCTGAGTAGTCCCGGAAGGCGGCTTTGTGGGCTGTGCCCTTCCTGGCCGGCCGGGTCAGCGCTGCTCCTGTTCTCAGCGGATGAGCTCCTCAGCCGGTTTTAAGCCCTTACTTTGGTTGCAGCACACACACATACGGGGCTGCGGGTATAAAGAGTCAAAAAACAAAGGATTGGGTGTCGCTTTCCAGGCTGAGGCCTAGAACGTTAGCAAGCCCTAGACCATAAGCTGTAGGGGTGCCTAGTGGCCTCTGTGTGCCTGAAACTGCACCTGCCATGGTTAGGCACCCAACCCGTGTTAGTAAAATGAAGGTATACACGGCAGGAAAGGGGTCAAGCTTCCTGGCCTCCGGAGTCTCACCTTCACCACTGACCATTGTCTCCCTCAGATCCCAGAAGTCATAAAGGTTTTAGTCTCTCAGTGTGGGTAACTTCAGGATACCATGTGTGAGGGTGTATGGATCTCTACAGGTGTTATTTCAGTGGCTGCCTGGCCCTCCTAAGGACCTGTATCCATAACTCACCTCTCAAGAGCAGGTTCTGTTGAGGGTCATTGGCAAGAAGGAAGGGAAATGGCTTGCAGCTTGAAAAGGAGTGGAATGGCCCCTCCAGCAGGGAAGACTGCAGCTCTGAGGTGAGCTCTGGCCTGGATTGAGTTGTAGATTGTGGCTCCTCAGCTCCCTATCTCAATGGGGAAATGTCCAAAAGGCAGCTTGTCAGAAGGGAAAGAAAATCAGGATCTGGGCAGTCCTTAGTAGGCCCTGAAAAATTGATTAGTGATGCAGAAATTGTGCATATTTAAACCCTTCCTCATCTAGTGGACCAAAAGACTGGTACAGGTGAGGGAGACCATTCCATTCGGTTCCAATAGTTGCTTAGCATGCTGCTGAGTGGCCTGGGAGAAGGGCCTCTGCCCACAAGGAATTAGATGTAGACCACATGAATGGAATGAATATATACCAGGTCTCCACCCAGGTCGGGATAGGGGGACAAGGGAAAGAATATAGTTCCTGGGATTTTCTTTTTTCCCCACTCCTGGATATAACTAGAGAAAAAGTTTGCCAACAGCGTTTATCATATTAATACCCTATGAAGGTTTTTCACAGATGCTGATGATTATTTTAAAAATCATGTTGGTAATAGGAGCCAAACACTGGCTGTTGACTGTATTTGCTGTAGTATTGATGTCTGATGAAAAAAGGAAATAGGAAATTTCTTTTCATGAAATCAGAACTAAACAAGTGACTTCCATGTCCTGATTTCCAAGGTTTTCCATTTGTTTGTTTCATGCAGACATGATTGTCCATGGCTTCTTGGACAAGCAACTGGTCTCATTTTCCCTTATAGAATGGATGACATGGAAGAGACAGAGCACATCTAGACTACATTCATATTTCCACACCATCTTCTGTTGTAATTGGTATTTGACAAGAGCTTTTCACTTGGACAAAGGTTTATTCCTTTGGTTGCCAATCCCCCTAAGGATCTCTTGAGTTTGGGCCATCCCCATATGCTACAAGGGAAAATGAGAACTGTTACTTGTCCAAGAACTCATTATAGTCCTGTCTGTATAAACACAAAATCATGGAAATCTATATGTGGAAGTCATTTGTTTAGTTCTAACCTATTTCACCAAAGGAAATTTCTTTCCTTCAAAGGGATGAGGAAGTTTGTTGTGGAATGGCTTGAGAATGAGAAGATTGAGGTGGAACCTTGGAAGCAGGGCTGGTCCCTTTGCTAATGGTGAGCAAATTTGCCTTCAGGCACTGTCACCCATTTCTGACACAAACAATATTTTGGGACCTTCTAAATTTCAATAGGATGTGACTGATAGGAGCCATGGGTTCCAATCTGAGCGGCTGCCATGGTGAGTGCTCCTGGCAGTCACTTAACCTCTGTTTACCCTTGCTTCCTTGGCCATAAAACAGCAGTGGCAGAATTGGTCCACTGTGTTTATCTGCTTAAGGGGGACACCATGACAATGGTTACAAAGCACTGCAAATGCATGGCATTTATAGCAGTACTGACTGCCAAAAAGGAGAACAAAATGATGTTGAAATGGGAAAATAGTGAGGTCTGAACAATTCCTCCTTGCACTTGCAATTTCTATTCATTTTAATCTCATTGGATTATTGTCCTTTCATTCCATAAATGGAAATGAAGGAAAAGGGCCCTCACGATGCTCATTCTTTGATTACCAAATGTTTTGGAAGCTTTACTTACGTGAATAGTATTTTTCCCTCTTTCCCATTTTGACCACCTCTCTCAACATATATTCACTTTGAAAATTATTCAGAATTTGAACAGGTTGAGCTAAAGACCTTAGCAAACAAGTGCAATCAGAAGCAGCAGATTCTAATACCAGCTGTGCTATGGGTGCATTCTAAGACCTTGGGCAAGCCATTAACCTTCCCATAACTTAGTTTTCCATCTGTGAAACTGCAGCCGTACTTCTAATTAATTTCACAGAGATAGGAGAGATAACTAATGATAAGGTACTTTGAACTATTAATTGCTGTATAGACTACAAAATATCATGTAGGTGTTTTTGGCAAACTAAAGTATGGTGTTAGTTTGTACATCACAACTAGGAGATATTTTTGTAACAGAGAGATTACTCTGGCCCAATATCTGCAGCCAGGGTGATACCACCCACAAAACAATGATGTCTCGTTGCGTTTGAATGACAATGCAACTGCCCCATGTGAGAGTTATATTGCCACAGGTTCAACTAAGTAAAAATGTGATAACAGAAGTGGGTGAAGAAGAGAAGCTTTTATTCCACAAAAACATGGGATTTCTTCATCATACATGCTCCAGAAGAAAAACTACATCGAACCTTAAAAATGGATGTCACTACATAAAGACAAGTCTGATGAAAGACTAGAATGATCTTAGAAAAATGACCTGATATAAAACTAGACAAACTGCATCCTAATTTTGAGACCCTGGACCAGTTGCTTAGCTTCTCTGAGCCAGATGGGATGTGGGGTGGAGGGATTAGGTTTTACTCATTGGCTTGTTTTGAATTTCAAGCAAGAAGCTCTGTGTAACTGCTAGCACAGGGCCAGGCTCATAGTGGGCCCTCTGTCAGTAATAACAACCTCTAATATTTATTGAGGACTTACTATGTGCCGTGCACTGTTCTAAGCCTTTTCATCTAATGACTCACTTGATCCTTATTACCACCCTATGATGTTGCTGCCATCTCTTCATCTTCAGAGTTTCTATCTACATAGAAGGACTTTTCTAGGAATAATATACTGCTATGCACTAAAAGTGAAAACCCTCTTTTTATAGGTACTGGAGATTTCTAAGAAAATTTGTTTTTCTATAGCAACCTCTTTCTTGAACATATTAAGAAAGAAAATAGCATTTTAAACTATCATCACCTTGCTTTCATGTGGAAAGGGCTAATCTAGCCTTTGCTGGTACCTAGGAAATCAGGCTGCAGTGAGCATTTGGAAGCACATATATTACAAAAAAGCAAATGAAGGATTCAGTTTGGGACAAAAAGGGCCATAGAAAACAAGTAGTGCTTCAAAACCCCAAACCACTTTCCATGCCTCAGATTGTAAGCTCCTAGAAGATTTGGGCTTCTAAATAGTGTGCTTATCGGTTTAATGGAAGTTAGTTCCCTTGAGGCAGCAATATGGGAATATTAACTGGCCAGGCAAAGAAAAAAATGGATTATCCCTTAGAAATGAATTGTACCATTAGTTATTATGAATACCCCAAATTATGACATTCACTTCTAAGTATGCCAGGGAAAAGTAGCCGTGAGCTATAATACACACAATCGTTTATTACCCAAGAGAATTTAGGTGCTAATGTGGATGGTATTGCATCTGTGAAATTCTGAAACCCACAAAGGATTCTAAGATATAAAGCCAAATAAAACATAATACAGAGGGAAATGATTTTGATTATGTAACATTTATATATAGTG